CACGTTTTTTTTATTTGACCTGGCATGAAGTTAGTATACAATTCATTATTGTAGTTTTTTAATCTAAATGTCTTCCTATGCAAGTTTTGGCTCAAGAAAATCAATGTGAGCGGATGTTTAAATTTATGCATATGTATATGCACTACAGCAAAAAAACTTCGATTTGGATCTACTACATAATAAACATAGTTCATATTAAACAACGACAGTGAGAAACTATCTATGATTTTAATTGTGATGCACATGTAAGCGAAAATTGTAGTATTAATCAATATTCATGAGAATAGGGGAGTTCCAGTAACAATATAGATCACTTATGAGGTGATTGAAAACTTATAAATATCTATATTGAAATTTTCACTATGGATAAAATTCTATAAGCATTTTTTGAACCATAACTTAAATGTGTTTTTCAAGTAGGAGCCAACGGATAGCCAATAATCTTCAATGATCAATGAAATATTATGTGCTTTTAAGTCTAAATTCGTTCACTTTTTAACAACATTAAAATAATAATAGGTCATCAGGTTTAGGTATAATTAGATGACTCATGAAAATAAAGGGACTGGAAAACGTTGTTTCTTCAATTTGATAGGTGAGAATAATTAAGAATTCCAGATGACCTGGAAATAATTTTCACTCAAAATTATTGAATATTTAACTTTCTATACTTTGAAGTTTATACTATTTGAAAATTCCTTAGTTTAGTTCCTTAGATTAACAACTACACATACAATTATAAATCGCACAGAGCTATGAGTCCTGATCCCATGGTGGTTTATTGTAATGGTTGTTCATTCTTAATAATAGTAAATTACCATTTAATATCTTCAATGCAAATTCACCTCAATCTGGATTTGAATGATTCAACGTTTTTGTACTATAATTTATATGAAATTTAGTTCATTAATCATTTTGTTTATGTGGCATATTAATATATTTCAAATTGTTGTTTAAAAGTGGTTTTTTAACGTAAAATAAGTTGACGCCTCCTAAAGAGCTAGTGAATGCAAAGGTCATTTAAAGGGTGAGAATCATTTGCTTTTGACCTTCGCTTACTTTAGTGCATCTCAAAGCCGTGGACGCATGAATGTATATACAGTCGGATTCATGATATTTATGTTCTTGTAAAAACACTACTTAAAAGTTTTCATTTAATGTTACATCTAACTGAATATAATTTGATGAAAGCAAAAACGTAGATCAAGTTGGGAGAAAAAATATAAAACAATGAGAAAGGAAAAAAACAGAAAACACAAATAATAAAAGTCAGGACGTTTAGAGAATTAAAAATATAAAATACATCACATGTAAATATAACACTTTTCTTAGAATAATAATTAAAAAAACAAACTTATTTCAGTACTCTTAGTTAGAGGAGGGGATAAATACTTTATTATGTAACTAATTAAACGGTAAATGAATAAATATTTAGTAATTCAGTCGACTGAAACAAAATTATGTTGTCGAATGATAACTGTTTATGAATAAATAGCCTATAGGCATATAAAAATAGGACAGCTAGGATGCAGCTAGACGATCTAGACACCGCAGATGATCTGGCCCTTCTATCGCACACACAACAACAAGTGAAGTAGAAGACGACCAGTGTAGCATCAGCCTCAGCAGCAGTAGGTCTCAATATACACAAAGGGAAAAGCAAGATTCTCCGATACAACACAGAATGCACCAATCCAATCACAATTGATGGAGACGATTTGGAAGATGTAAAAACCTTTACATATTTGGGCAGCATCATTGGTGAACATGGTGGATCTGATGCAGATGTGAAGGAGTGGATTGGCAAAGCAAGAGCAGCATATTTACGACTGAAGAACATCTGGAACTCAAAGCAACTGTCAACCAACACAAAGGTCAGGATTTTCAATACAAAATACTTCGGATCCGTTGGCCAGACACTATTAGCAACAACCTACTGTGGGAAAGAACAAACCAGATCCCAACAGAGGAAGAAATCAGGAAGAAGAAGCGCTGGAAGTGGATAGGACACACATTGAGAAAAGCACCCAACTGCGTCACAAGACAAGCCCTCACATGGAATCCTGAAGGCCAAAGAAGAAGAGGAAGACCAAAGAACACATTACGCCGGGAAATGGAAATAGACATGAGAGAAATGAACAAGAAATGGATGGAACTAGAAAAGAAGGCCCAGGACAGAGTGGGTTGGAGAATGCTGGTCGGCGGCCTATGCTCCATTGGGGGTAACAGGCGTAAGTAAGTAAGCCATATAAAAATCCATGTCAAGGTCTTCCTCCTAGTTAAGTCCCGTCCAACACTACATCAGCTGTTTTGTCGTTCAATAGTAAATAATAAATCAATATATTTTTTTAAAAATGTAAACTTCCATAGATATCCAATTTTTAAGTTGTCGTTCAATAGTTTCAGTAACAGGTGTTTTACTTACGCATTGTTCACTTCATATATTTACACTGAAGCAAATGCAACAAACCATCTACAAGAATGTTTGTGTGTTTGCTTAACTGTTATATCATTCTACGAAAACCCTATATAATAAATTAACATCATAAGTCACCTTTCATTAGAGTAACTTAATAAAATAAGTTCTGTACACACTTAGTATAATATTTGTCCAGGTTATTTTGTACAGGTGGGAAGTGGTACATGGGCACTAACAAAAGCTTTTAGAATTATATCAATAGATAGTGTAAGATTAACTGTCTTAAGTTTGAAATCATTTCAGTAACTCCAAACCAATGTCAAACATGAAAAACTAACAGTTATTAGTCTTAACTTAGATGCGATGACTATTTCTTCAGTACCGTATCCAAGGCGCTATTGCAAAGTAAATGGAATTTCTTTTGCACAAATGGAAGTACATACCATTAGGAAAAATCTTATTGATATATCCTTAAATATTGTCTATCTTTACAATTAGCTGATTATTAAGTATTATGTAATATTTATCTAATCCTTTAGTGTTCGCTGAATTTTATAGGCCAATTACAATGTGAACATTAGTTACAATGAAGTGACACCACGTATATTTGCTAAAATGTTTAGCGATTAAAAGCTATCAACAGGAAACTCTAGACCTAAGTTTCAAGTTGGTCAATCATTATCAGCACTGTTAATGTCACAAAGTGGGAATCTGTATAACGTGGGTTTGAAAACCATTAGGAGTGCAACCCACTCAAGACTGCAAGTACACCTTGATAACGAGTACCAAGTACCACGAAACCTGGATCCAGAATTTTCTACCATCTAACTCCAGCCACTTAACATCGTTCATGTCCATTTTTAAATTGATCAGTCTGTCGGCCATAAGAAACGTAGAACCTGGCACATATGTGTATCAGTTCAATTTCCCACATCACATCAGTACAAGAAAATGAAACTATCCATACAAATGTCAGTGTACTAGAAACAATACCAGTGCCAGTTGTAATAAACAAGGTTACTCATCGAAAATATGATTTGAGAAGGATAAACAGATTCCTGTAAAGTAATTTCAAGGCTCAAAATTTATTCATAAACAAAGAATAAATCTACCTCAAACACCATTCAACACCATTTCGCTTCGAAGCCTAAGCTAAATTTGATTCATTAATTCAACCCATTTCTTGAGCTTAAACCAGGCACCACAATCATCGAACATTGACTACTAATTATATATATATATATTATTTATACATTTTAGTGTAATTAAAAATAATTTGGAAGAATCGGTAAACACAGAAGTATTAGATAAGGCAATGATTAGTAATTCAAGTAGTGAGATGTTTGTTTGTTTGCTTGCTTGCGTTGCTCATATTATAAACATGCTAAAATCAATTTCAGACTATATATATATATATATATATATATATATATATATATATATATACAATGGGACACGTGAATATAAAGTCTCATCAACACATTTTTCAATTATAATCAATCTCTCCTGTCATTGATCGAAAGATAAATATATGTATATTGATCAATATAAATATTGATGTTAAAATCGTTAGCTGACAAACTCTCATAAATGAAACTAAATCACCAGTTTCTCGAAAAATTATCAGTTCACTAAGATTACTAAAAATGATCAATTAATAACAGTTAATTTCTCATTAATCCATAGTAATCATATATATTCATAGTTTTTAAGTCTTTTCGAGATCAAAAGCTTTATATGTTAATCGGCAGTTACAAATGACTTATATGTTGACATACGAAATGATTTTGGCAACACGCCAAAAGTCGTAAATTATTAGACTAGTTGGCTGTTAGCCAAAGAATGAGCTAAAGATATACTAGGAACCTATATTATGACACATAAATCGAAAATGAAGCCTCTCATTTCTGTTTTCTCATTTGTTACGATCAATAATTGTTTCAGATATTTCTAAGTCAGTTATTTAAATAATTAATAAGAGTACATTTATTTTAGAATGTTTTTCCATCAAATTTTAGTTTCTAATCAGAAAGAATTGGATTTGATCAATATACACTCATATCCTGTTTCGAGATAATATTCTTAAAACAAAGGCTCATTCAATAAATGAAATTCAAATTATATATTCCATAATGAGAAAGCAAAAGAATAATAGCCAATCCAGTGCAATTCTTATATTTATCATAAATGTTTTTTAGATATGTATTGCTGAACTATACGAAGTTTATGTCTTTTCTTAAGGTTATCGATGTCGAATTTTATGTGGAAAATTTTATTTTTTGGAAAAAGGATAAAGATAAATATATATCCTGATCTCTTCATGCATTTATCTTGTCAGCAGTTTATCTCCTGGATACTTAACTACTAAGACTTCATCGTGGTCTTTTCAGTTTCCCAGAGAATACTGTATATCAATGCTGAAAGGGGATTGGAAGACTTGTTTTGTATCTTGTCTATTACTTATGATTAGATGTTTTATTCATATACTATTTGTGGTCTCACTGAAGTTAACTGAATTCATCTACTTATTGAAACTGTTTCTTTCCTGTTCAATTTTTTTCTGTTTTTGTTATAATTATAGCTACAACCAAGTCGTTCACACACTGGCAGTGTTGAAGTTCGCCTACTTCGTAAATTACCAGCCCCAATGAATATTCTAATATCCGTTCATGTGACAATATCCAAAGGTGATATAGAAATTGGACATGCTGTCACTAAACTTTACCTGTTTGTTACACAATCATTTTCTGAACGATTGAGAACAAGCAGAATAATTCAAAGAGGAATAATTTAAATAATACGTTGTCCCTTCTATCCTTTACTCGTCTGCAATTAAATGTTTTTATTATTATTCAATTAAGATCACTGAGAAATTTTTCCCTCTTTCGGTTTGTTTACCATCCTTTTACACCTAAAATTTTACTTCAAAATTTACAATGCGGTATAAAATCAATGCAGTCAAACTAAGCTGATTAGTCAGTGACAAAAAAAAACATTTTAACAAGTAATATTTATTCAGAAAGAATATCGTATACCTGCTGATACTGTAAGCGATGATCGGTATCATTTATTAGTTTACTGACAAATGAGGAGTCGCACATGAACATGCAGTGAAACATATTCATCTATACAGACATAGTCTATTGCATTTTATACACATTCATATTCTTATAAACTACTTTCATCGATACTGTCATACCTATGATAAATATATATATAAATCAGATTCAATAAATCAATAGATTACGCAACATTGATTATCTTAACATATAAACAAACAAACTTATATACATACATAAGCATATATACGCGCATATATATGTAAATTAATCGTTTATTTCTCTACCCTATATCTCAATAATTTCTTTCTTGTTTAAGCGCCACTCCATGGGTATCCAACCATTGATGAGATTATCGTTTTTTGAGTATATAAATATATGTTTAATATTCTTATCCAAGAAATAAAATTGAAACACTATTACTACTCCTAATATCACTACTAATACTACTATTATTGTCAATTATCACGTATTACTGTAATATTTATGTTTGTGTATATGTACGTTTTGCTTAAATGACATCACTTTAATAAATGCTATTTTCTTTTGTTTTCATGAATCGACAACAGCGCTGATAATCACCAAGCTATATAAGCAAATAATTATTTCCAACTCACTCGTAACTGACTTCGGGACAATACTCTTAAAGTTCTAGTAAGAGTTCATGACTCGTATGATCAATGTAGTTGCCACTCAAATAGTGAATCTTCGATGACATTGAACATTTTACTGTAAACTGATTGAAATTTGGAACGAATGTCATTACAATTTTACGCAGCATCACAATAACATAATGTTCTCAGTGAGATCTGATCGTTCTTGTTTTGATTCCTTATAGAGTTGTGGATACCCTGAATAAATAGCATCAAACTAGAATAAAGTATTTTCCCTTTAGTTTGCAGTCAATTTTCAAATGTCATCTCGTGATAAAAGTTACTTTCAAATTGAGTTTATAAAAACCACTCAATTTCAAAAAAATATCTGGTTACTTGCTATTCAGTTTTCATAAATAATTGTGTTTCCTATGATTAAATTTCAAGTTAAAACACGAATTTCAGCGAAGGGATCTCTTTTCAACGAATTTATTATCAAGCTGTACAATCGTATATATATGAAAATTTTGTTTTTGTAAAAGTACTAATTCCGTGAGGAAATGTGAATATAGTTAATATAAAGGTTATAATACTAGATTACTTAATATGAATAATAACAATAACAATGGATTTGGTGAATATAATAAGATGATTAAAATGATTAAAATGTTTTTGATATAATAATTAAAGGTCATAGAGGTGTACAAAAATAAACTGATATGATGAGAGTTCATGAATAAAACAATGAGAATATAAGACATAAGTAAAGGGGAATACAGTAATTATAATAATAATAATAATAATAATAATAATAATAATAATAATAATAATAACATTAATGGTAGGATAATCAAACTAATTAAGGCCAAGGTAACGATAACGATAAGACGTACTTCTTTTGTACGCATAGTTCTGGTTTAAGCTCCTGGATGGCAAGAGCTTCGGCTATTTTTAAAAGTTGTATACGAAGAAATCTGGGTAGATTTGAACGAATCATATAAACAACCTTAAAATCAATTTGTGGATCTGTTGAATGGTTATAGTCAATTAGGTGTTCAAGAATAGAACTCCTAACTGCTTTCCTTTCACCCTTATAGAACCAGGCTGGAATATGTTCTCGTATCCGAGTTGAAAGCGAGCGCTGGCTACGGCCAATGTACCTTGCTCCACAAGAGCAGGTGAACTGGTAGATGCACATAGAGGCGACAAAATTATAACGGGTTTCAGTTGAATTTTTTGATAAATAAATATCAAAATTATGCACGCTGTAGAAACGGAATACTCGTTATCGTCAAACCCTGTTGTCTAAGTTTTATGCAGAATACAACCCTGTTTATTCGTCAAACGACAAGATTGCTCGTAAAAACTTTTATTCCATATGGATAAAAAATGTGTTGTTGGATCATTGAAAACACTTACTGAGAAAAACACTTGGTTTTCTCATGTTTCATTCTTGTTTAAACGATTGTTTACTATTTTAAAGAGAAAATACTTTTCCTCAGATATTTTTATTTCAAACGATAATTGAGTAGATTAGAATTGGATAACTGATTTTGTGTCTGTAGGTTAAATTTTCGAGTATTCAAATAAAAAATTAAGGACTCGTAATACTTGATCTAAATGAAGGTGTTTTTAATGGAATCTGAAATAACACTATAAATCTGTTCATTGTTATACATAGTTTCCTTTTTAGATATCAATATACACTATTTAGAAATTTACTGACACGATCATATTATAGTTACAACTTAAGGTAAAATACTGACAGATAACTAGGCAACAGTTATTAATTTTATGATACTCAGTATCATTCAGCATAATAGTATTTCTAGCTTCTCTAAACCAGTAATATCGTGGAAATTTGTTGCTATCTTCTTCAGTAATCTCATCAATGAGAGGTACCTTTCAATCATTTTCACCTAACTCATTATCAGTAAACTAATGTACCTTTCTATGTTCTCCCTCACTTCTTCCAATCGTTTCTTATTATTATTTATACTTATATTAAAGGTCTTTGAATCCTTTTCTTTTCTAGAAAAACAACCTGGTCTTCTTAAGTGGACTAAATTTTCTTTGAAACATATTTTTAACTGATATTCCAATTTAACTATCTGATTAAATAGTAGTATTGATAAACAAGAAATATTCTTAAAGATTTGTTATCTGGCAGTTAATAATTTCAATTCAACTACAAAGATTCCTCTATGAAACAACCTATTTGAAACATTATTTATATTGATTATACCATTAATATGTGTAACACAATTATTGAATTCTATAAATATGTGTACTTCAACAACAACAACAACAGTGATTATTTCGTTTTAAGTTTATTCAATATTCATTTGTTTGTTTAATATATTCATTGCATTATTGACTGATTTGTTCATGTTAAGTAAAAATAAAAGACCAAAGACAAACAATCAATCAGGTATTTGAAATTCACAATATAATAATTTGTAAAATCAAGAAAAGATGAAATAGATAAAAAAAATAGATCAAGATTGACAAAAGATTATTTATATGTCCTTATGTCGATTTTTGACATACTGTATACAAATGTCATATTTTGTCAATAATTAAATAGGGAAGATTTGTTTACAGAACACATCTTTATTCTAGGGAAGTGCTTATGACAAAATTATTTATCAGAATGGTATTAGTTAGGAATTCACATAAAACATCAAACACATTTATCTAATTATCTATCAAACCATCCCGATTCCATTCACTATTCTGTACACATTATCCAAAATTCCCCATACTAAATTAAAATATATACCATAGGATGCGGATATTTATGAGAATTATTTACTTTGGATTATTTAGCATAACTAGTTGGAAAAAATGACCCACTAAAAGCCAAAGAGCATCAGCTGAACAGATGTTTCGTTTTATTTGAAACTTCTCATAGTTTACCCACCCACCCCACCCCATCCATACACAAAACTCAGTTCCTTCAGGTCTCATGATAAGAATATAATTAACTGTACAATTCATTCCCTGGATTTTGGGTTGTAAACAAAACCTAACATTTACAGCTTTTTAACCAGATACGAGTGATGGCTGGTGGTGGAATCGACGACATGCACTTCGTCTTATTTAGGATTCATCGGCTGGATGTACCTGTATTACAGAATTGATGTTCACTCCAGATTCCAATCCAGTGCTATTTACTTCAAGCACCATCGCGTTATTCACTTACTTATTGTATCCAGACAGCCATTGGATTGAAACAATCAATACAAATGAATTTACAGCTTTAAATTCTTTTATTTGGATATCTTAAACAGTGAACTTGCTACAAAAAATCAACAATTTTACATTTAATTATTTATTATAAAATAATAAGTTAATCATAGAAAGAATGATATTTTTATAAATTAAAAGAATCTAAGTCAACTAGACTAGTTAAAGGATAATATAAAATAAGAATCAAATAGAGCTAACAAGTATAGATATCATATTTGAACAATTTCTAGGTGACATGTTCAAGTCTATGCTATCAAAATGATTAATTAACGCAAAGTATTCTTTTTTATTCAAAATAGAATAGATAACAGAACGTCTGATATTATATTTGGTATAGCTTCAAATTAAATTCATATGATAAACAGAAAATAATTATTTATTAAGGAGACTAACTGTGAACAGAAATACATTTTATATTTCCTATTAAGATTTATACATAACTACAATGATCTATTTGGATGGAATAAAAGAAAAAAATTCGACTTGAAATTTAATACTTTAATTAACAATAATAACCGATTCATTATCATATAACAACGAATATTTTAATAGTTTTACTCTAAAATTTATTATATTTAATACAGTTTAAGGCAGGTATATAAATTCACTTGTAAACAGTACAAATGAAATAATCACATCTAACTCTCACTCTTTTTATCTATCTTTCAGAGTAAATAAATAATCACTGATCTAAACAACTAAATAAACAAATAAAAATATTCCATGAAGTTATTCGACAACTCATTTTTGTAAAATAAACACAAATAATGATTTATAGCCAAATGAAATAAACAATAACTGATTTAGTCTAAACGTTTCATTGTTTACATATATATGATACTAAATCCTTTTGTAAGGGTTATTTATACTAGTGACTAATTCACTATCGAAATAATAATATCAACGGTTGTGGGAAAATTAAGCATAAGGAATATAATTTAACAAACCAAAAGGATTGGAAGATGAGGAGTATAGAACAATATCATGATTAAAGATGTATACATTCCAAATGAAACAGATTACAAACCACACCTTTTAAAGTCTTTAATCATAGATTACGAATATGCCAATTACTCTAACCAAAAAGCTTGTACATAATAACATGGCTTAGATCAACGGTTGATAAATTCATGAGCTGTTATCACGTTACGATTAGCTTTTTAGTCATTACAGTACTCACAAAATCCAAAATATAGTGGGATTCCAGATAACTGGGTTTTACATTAAAATAAACATTTTTGTCTAGCATAATCTATAAGTAGTTGAAAAATTCAACAAATACTTTTTTTCACATAAAACGTTTGCTTATCCAAAATATTTGTGTTTTTCTCATCTTTCCCAATAGTTTCGTTGTTGTTGTTACCGCCTCTGTTACTGATGTTGAAGGTGGTAGTCAGAAAAATGTATAGAAAAAATTGTTACAAAAAGAAATCAATATGGAATAATGGGAAAAAAAATTGAAACCGAAAACAAAACCGACTGGAATTTATGATTTTTATTTGATCGGATTCGAAAAGAAGAATAAAATAGAATAAGGATTTAGTTACCACAAAAAGAAAAGTATATAGATTAGAATATTCCTAGAAAGATTAATGATAAACTGTCTTTAAATGTAATATCAATACTTATTAAAAATTAAAGCCGTTAACTTTAAATCTAGGCTTTAATAAAATTTTCTGCAAATTTAGTCGTATTCTTTGTGCGCATACATATATTAGTCAGTCGTTATTTAAAAATATGTTCGGTACTAATAATTAATGTACTTCTGTTCAAATTAATGCTGTTTCTTATCCTATTCTCCCACTAATGGATTCATATAAAACGGAGTTTCAGTAAAGGTTTATCCTATAGTAGTCTATTAATTACTAAAAATGTGATATTTCAGTAATATAGTACAAACTAAACAGGGGTTGTTAGTAATACTAATAAGAAGTATTGCAAAATTATGAAAAACGAAAAGTTGTTCCATTGAAATAATATTTCTATACGTTTGTTCTAAAATTATACCCTGAATTTATTTTTCAGTTCATTGATTAAGCTGATGAATTGACATTCAACTTATTTTATCCACGATTATTCAATCTTTTGTTGTAATACTATGCAAGTAAAGCTTTAATTTATTGTCAAGAATGTGTGAATAAATCCAGATTCATAAATTTACAGTGATAAGTTAGTGTCTCTTGTATAAATAGACTAAATAAAAATGTTCTGTAATATTGTCTGAAACAATTGTTAGTGTTTCCATTTTTCAAAGAAAGGTTTATATTCATTTCAAGTCATATTTAATATGTACCGAATGAAGTTCAGATTAGTCATCAGATTGAATTATTCATTACAAATTCTTTCATCGTCTTGACAGTTAACATACTTTACATAACCAGCTGTAAAAACAAATAATTTATATTTATACACTTAAACTGTGTCGAAGATGTAGACTAATTCTGAGATATAAATACATTTACGTAATCAGTTCCAAAATCAGTCCATGCAGTTACATGTATTTTTTAGGCATTATACTCTCTAACCAACTTCAGATTTACTGTCATTAATATTACAACTATTATTTATATTATGCTACCGTTCATTCAAATACAATAACGATTCGTTCTTTGTAACGTATATTATTCAACCGTTATAATTAATAATAAAATCCTACATAGAATATAAATAATTCGGTTCACATTTGACCTATTTAAATAATTATTTATTTATTTGATTTAAAAATGACCGTTTATCCATAGTGAAAACACTTTTTTATTGATCAGAAGGATGTATATTTAGTTGTTTAGCCAACATTTTCTATTTAAGAAAAATTATATTAACGCTTATATGAATAAAATAATTTCATGTCTAGACATTAACACCGTTGGATGCCGGCTCAGTGGTCTAATGGTTAAGTGCTCGCGCGCGAAGCCAGTAGGTCCTGTGTTCGAGCCCCGCGTGGTGCGGGATCGTGGATGCGCACTGCTGATGAGTCCCATACCAGGACGAAACGGCCGTCCAGTGCTTCCAGGTTTTCAATGGTGGTCTAGCTTCAACTGACTCATGATTTCAACCTGTGAAATTTCTAAAACTCTCCACAAAACCCATTCTGATAATATCAGTTAACTTGTGAAATAATAATGCATTGTACAAGTTTATTAGTATTAGATTTTCTATTAAGGATAAATTTCTTTTAGGGATTGTCAACTACACTTCATTCAACTGTAGTTATCTCATTTAAGTATTTCAATGATATCTATCCATTGAATTAATTTCAATTGTAAATGTACGATTTAAAGAGATTGTAATTCTCTGTGAATAACAATCTATCGAAGCTCAGTTAGTGTTTTTTTATCACAATTTCTTCACATTAATAATGATTGTAAATTTCAGCCATTAACCTATAATTGAATGTTTAGTAAAACGATATACAGAATATTCTAAATAATTTTGATAATAACACCTCACTTGGTCAGTATGAAGGTCAGAAAAGAAGAAGAGTAATTGGAAAATGTAAATCAACAAGATAGTAGTAATATTGTAGAATATACTAGAACATAGTCAATAAATGACTGAGAGCAAATGGTTATTTGAAAGTGCTAATAAGATATAGGATTACCAATAGATCACAAGGAATCTATTACACAGAATAATTTGACAAAATGACCACTAACACAAATATTTAATATCCTCAGTTCGCATGAATTAGAAAAATAATTTAAAATTAAGAAAATCTTATTTTTCTATGTATAACAATTAATCACTGGAGGTCAGCATCAAGTCTCAACAAACATAATCATGCAAAAAATTTATTTCTATTAGACCATATGATATTAACTCCGCCAGTAGCTCTCCTAGAGTTACTCTCCGTCCCAAGCCCAGGTAAAGGAGGAGGGTTGGGCATGAGTCAGCAACCCCATCCCATAGAAAAAATCTAGCTAAAAAACGCTAACCAGATTAGACCATTCAAACTCTGCCCTCCGAGCTGAAGGAAGAATTATGACGGCTCAGGATGAAAGCTGAAATTCTTCGGAAGTCACGAAGCCGATGCTCCTTCTAACAACCAAAGCAACAATTTTTATCGGTACATGTAACGTCCGCGCAATGTAAGACGGACAGGACCAGTCAAACACCTACGGAAATGAGGAGATACAAATTGGCGATTCTTGTAACCAGCGAAAACTATTGGACCCAAGCTGCACAGCAAAGGCTAGATAAGGGAGAGATGCTACTATACTCCGGTCAGGAAGAGGAGTTGCTCTCCAAAGAACCACGACATGAACTTACAGGATGGGAATCTCATGGATCTAAGATCATCAAAGCACCATTCAATACAAGGAAAGATGGAATTACAATGAATGTTATCAGATATTATGCACCCACCAATAATAGCAACGACGACGATAAAGACCAGTTTTATAGGAGGCTGCAACCGATCACAGCAAAGTGCCTAAGAAAAGACCTGACCATCCTGACTGGAGACTGAACCGCCAAAGTTGGAATGGACAATAATGGGGTATGAAGATATCATGGAAAGACATTGACAGGGAGAAAGGAACAGGTATGGGAAGATATTTGCGGGTCAACCTGCATTCAACAAATTGGTTATAGACGGCACAATATTCTCACACAAACGGATGCACAAAGCTACATGGATTTCACACGACTATTCTACTGAGAACCAGATCGATCATGTTTACATCGGTAAAAAAAAATTCGGGAAGACAATGGAAGATGTGAGAACCAGGAGAGGAACTTACATACCTCCAGATCACCACTAGCTGGTGGTTGCCAGGGTGAAACTGAAGCTAAAGAAGTACTGGACAACTGGGGAAACAGCATTATGAAGGTTCAATGCAGTTATCCTTCGAGATACTGACAAACTCAACGAATTCATGATATCTCTCAACAACAAGTTCCAAGCCTTACAGGATCTACTGAAGGAAGAAACTACTATGGAGGAAAACTGGAAAGGTATCAAAGAAACATTAACTTTAACGTGCTAGGAGATGCTGGGCCACAAGAAGCAACACCATAAGGAATGGATCTCTAAGGATACCGTGGACAAGATTCAAGAAAGGAAGAACAAAAAGACAGCAATTAATAACAGACGAACAAGAACAGAGAAAGTAAAGGCACAAGCTGAATACACAGAAGCAAATAAGCAAGTGAAGAGCATTAGAACTGACAAGCAGAAATACGTGGAAGACTTAACAACGACAGCGAAAAAAGCTGCAACAGAAGAAAATATGAGACAACTATACGACATAACGAAGAAACTACCAGGGAAATATAGTAAACAAGGGAAACCGGTAAAGGACAGAAAATGAAAGACAATCACTGAGGTTTAAGGCTAATCCAATGGAGTTCTTATTAACAGAAATGAGAAAATTCAAGCTCCTTAAATAACTTCGTACCAGCTGCACAAGCTAATGGTTACCTAAGCTCAGTAGCTTACTATATAAGATACCTGTAATTGAAGCGACAAGCAATTAACTAACTTAATACAAACATGGCTAGTTTCATACGATTGAATCCTAATCATAAGAAATCAATAAAGTTTTACGCAGAATCACTTAAATTTCTACAAAATAAAACAAACATCAGACTCATTTGAATTTATACTAAAACAGTAAAGATGGCAAAGACAAACTTCTTGTAAAATCATTGATACATGGGCTTAAATTGTGTACTGTACTGAAGTATATATTAATACTTATTCCGAGGGCTATCATAAAGTTAGCAATAACAAGGAGTGTGAACGGGCTATTCACATTTTTTGACCCATTAACAAACTCGAGTGATAAAAAAGTGAAAATTTACCAATAATGAAAGCAACAAATTTACTTAGCCTAATGTCGAATCATGTAAAAGTTTAAAAATTCATGGGGTCGTTTTCGTTTCGATTCTCCAAACCTATTTCAAAGCTTTCTTAAGTTTTTTGCATCCGATACGATCAATATGGATGACAGAATACAGTGAAAAGTTCAAATATCTTGTCATTCAGGTGACTGATAGCAGAACGCAATATCGTATAATAATTATATTTAAACATAACAAACAGATACTTCTTAAAGGTAGCTGCTTTCTAATGGAAATGCTACTTAAATAATATAATCTTTGTGAACAGTATTGGTTTGAGCATAGTTTTTAAATCAAATTTAAAAGTGGAATTCGGCTGTACTGAGCTTACCATTTTGGATAGAATTTGCAATTTCTCGAAATAAATAAACAATTATCTAGGAAAATATCCTGCATCAAATGAAAAGAACAATGCTGAAAACGTCCGAATAGTATCTAAACTTTATGGAATGTAATGATCCTATACTTTAATTCTAAAGTAATTTATGGTTTCGTATATAACGATCGGTTACTTCTCCTTGACTTTTAGC